TTTATCACGTGATAAACAATATAGAATAGTGATTGGTTGTAGCAGATGAGGATCATATGATTTTTGGTCATACGATTTTTGGTGTCATATATTTTTGATTGTCTATTGTTTTTTAAATTCAATCATCATGTTTATGATACTCGCACGTATTGATTCATCATGCAATTTTCGAACAAAAGATATTACCCAAGTCTCATTATACCGAATATTGCTTGACCTTGGACTAATTTCGTTATATAGAGGTACCTCACTATATCGAATATCTCGTTATACCGAATCATGGATGCCTCCCCCGACACTTCGGTATAACGAGGTTCGACTGTATAGAGAAAGCTTATCGAGTGTGATGGAAAATAATAAATAGACTGTCTGAGCGCCATGCAAAGCTTCTGCTTCTGCTTCTGCTTCAATTCTATTTAATTCAATTCTATTCTATTCTATTCTATTCTATTCTAAGACTATAGTATATAAGAACGACCCCATACATCTATACCAAGTGCCATTAACTCATTAACCAAATTTTGGTTTAACAAACCAATAGGCAAAGTCTCGGAGAATCACATGCGGCTGGGATGAAAGCATAATAATAATAATAATAATAACAGATAAAGTTAAAAAACGCAACCCGATCTCATTCACGTGATTGTTCCTTGAAATTAACCTGCCACAGTAAACTTGGTTTGTCACAGTATGAGTATGTTCTGGCCCATAGCGAAATTCAGCCTGATTCAAAATCGGGCTGGCCCAGTTCGAAATAAGCACATTTTATTTCGCCATTATCACATAAACCATAGCGAAATTCAGCCTGATTCAAAATCGGGCTGGCCCAGTTCGAAATAAGCACATTTTATTTCGCTATTATCACATAAACAATAGATGTCGCTTATTGATTGTGATATTAGACAATGTGCCTATTGCGAATCGGGCTGGATTTCGCTACGGGCCAGAACAAGTATGCCCCCAGAAAATCCACGAAAACGAACTCGACAGCAAGCAAACCACTCTGCCAGGAATGACTCTACGCTTTCGAGAATAGCCAGTAATCTTTTACTCGGCTCCGGTGAAAGCGACGGTGATAACCCTGCAAACTATCATCTCCCTCCGTGGGCATCTAAATTCGGAGAGGAAGAAGTGGATGCATTGAGAGCGACGTTCACGTCGGCTTCTAAGGATTATGTTATACCTGCCATTCAAGGTAAAAGCTGCGTAATGTTTAACAACTCTTAGCATGCCTTACTTACGTTCAACCCAGTCACCAGCTTTCCGGAGCCATATGTTCTCCCAAACATTAGTCATGCCATGCTCGACATGCATGCCTTCGACGTCCGCAATATCCGCGAAATTTCGATCAGTAACGTCAAAACGTTCCTTAACAAACTGCACAGAGTTGTAAAGAATGCATGTATCGACATAAGCACAGAAGAATCTAAAACAGATTCATTAGTAAACCATATATTAACCCACATTATAAAATTCGATGATTGGCCGTTTGCAGTTAGGTGAGTTACAAAAAGTTAGCTTTTTTTTATGCACCCTAATAGTACTCAAGTTTGCATTATTCTCAAATTTAGAGTAAAAGAAGGCTACCGACTATCCATTGGTGGTATGAAGGTGTCAGCTAAACCCGAATTTGTAGTGGACAAGGGAGGCGTTGCCATAATAGTCTTAGCGGTCGGTCTGGCTTTGATTCTTTGACGAGCCATGTTATTCATAACTCAAATGTTTTTTCCGTCAACAGGATAAACATTTACAAAACGTTGTGGCAGCAAATAACTTCGGGGAGACCCAAATTCTGGCTGAGATACTTGCCTGCGGATACGAAAATAATCGTCTATCCCGTACAGTTACCGATCAGACCATATTCGTTGCTCGTGTTGTCTCCTATTACGTCACTTTTTACAAGGCTGTGGTGCATAAAGCATATTGGGGAGAGACTGTGAACGATTTACCACGACATCAGTCTATTGCGATATTAAGATGGCCCGGGGAAGCTGATCCGATGACTGGTCTAAATCTGGCAGAACCAGATGGAAGACGTTCAGTCTTTGAAGCATTAGTCGCAATTCGTGAATCGCTTTCGGTAGGTGAAGAGAACGAAGATGAATAATAGCTGTGGTGATGGATTATTTCGTCGTGCTGCCGTTATAGTTTATTATCTGAACAATTATCTCCATCTTTATTTCACGCTCTTGCCATTTGATGTGATGGTGTGCGTAGTCATCCGTTAGTTCATCTGTTAGTCAGTCTAGTGATATTTTAGTATCAAAGACGTTGTATTAAGCTTGCAAACCCTGAATAGGTTGTGCACTAATTAGTTGAACAAAAGTTTACGCATACATAAAAACCGAACATTTCTTTTACAAAATTGTTTCGCTCTCACGGTGCATAAATCTCAAGGGACTAACATTGCCACACATTTTCCTATATTCGAATAAACGTTTCTTGCATAACACATCCTCTCATTTTTTAATTGATATTATACACGGTTAGATTACCCTTATTATTATCTAATTTATTATTTATTACAAACAATGTCTACTTTGCCAACGACAATATCTGATGTTAAATAACCGCGAGCTTGCATGGGAGGTAAATTAGTACTTTATTTGATATCTCTTCCTCCAGAATATCCAAAACTTGGCTATCTACAACTGGGGAATCATCATTAGGAACGCGAAGCATAAAATCAAAGACATCTCTATCCTTTGGATACAGTGGTTTCTTTATACGTACATGTTTACCAGTTTCTTTAATAAATTTCGGAGTTCCGAGTATCCGTAGAGAAAATGAGCTCTTAGTCGCAATGTTATCAACGATATTTTTACTCTGTAAACTTATTGGGAGTTTTTTACGGACAATTTCAATAAATAATGCGACTTTAGCAATATTATTAAGACGCATTCCGAAAATCGAAATATGAAGCGACATTTTTTCCAAATCGCTACTTTCAGCACTAGTTAACGTGCTTTTATCCCATTCTGCATATATCTCTAGACACACTTCTTTAAAGGCATTACAAATGATATCATATATCTGTTCACGAGTAAGTTTAGGATCGATCCTATTTAACGTCTCTTGTGGTTAAATCGAAATCGATAAATGGGCGAAGTGGTCATATCCGCTAATAAATTCATGTAACGAGTGCCCCCCACGATCAGACAGTATAGCCTCTATTCCATCTTCGGTATCTGTACCAAGAAATTCTCTTGGATGCACACTATCATCGCGAATTTTATAAATATATTCGGCTACGTCTTCAGCTTTATGCCCGCGGTGGTAGAAGGCAGCCATCACATAGATTGGGATCTTGTCTCACATTGGACTACCCCATTTCTCCTGTATCACGAACATATCCATATAAGTCTATTTCTTGCATTCGGAAGTCACGGGACTGCCACGTTTTTGTGGCATGACTAATCCACTTTGTCAATTCATTTGTTCATTCTGCTATATGTGTGCATCCATAGCGTAATGATATATCACCATTATCTCAAAACTTAGCATAAACGTTTTTGCCACATAAATTTGGATCCCAATATTATAGTAATAGCATGCGTATGAAAATATGCTGAGATTCAAAATGAACGCTGTTTCAGACACAGTTATCGTCATTTTCCACGGACGGTTAAATCTGCGTCAAGTTAATTCTACATCATCAATATATTGTACTTTCTAAACTGATAAATAATAAGCTATTGGCATTCACACCAGACAACGAAGTATTACGTTCTTATCGGCATCATCTACACGTAGCTAAATGACCACGATTCTTCCATGCTTAAAAAGTGTTCCGTCGAATTCATTGCTCGAAATAGTTAAAAGTATCTCAATTTTACATTACTCTCCATAATTTACAACTTTTCGTCCAAATATAAGCAATAAACATCTGACAATTTTTTATACAGTAGACAATGCCTTAACCTCGATATTCCGCTAGGCCAATGTTTGAGAAATCTGTAACCCGAAATGACTTTACGTACTTAACATAGTTATTAATACCCATTTCTATTACTCAAGAGTTACGTGTGTTTCTCGGATCTTGCATCAACTGACAATTGATATACAGTATATGGTACCCACACATTTATTACTCTACTTTTACTTCTCCAACGAATATCCATCATATTGTATCATTCTTGCGTAAGCTAATAATGCCTGCGAGCAACAAGTTGTCGGATGGTGTCGTCGTGATGAAAATAATATATATAGAGAATTGACGTAACCAAAAGATGATGGATATATAGGGAAGGAGGAATAGATTGTGAATCTGTTAGAGACTGTCAGCGGACAATTTTGTAATCACACCGGGCATGAGAGTAAGGTTCTTGGTCGGTCAACATGGAAAAATCACACCTGCCAATTTTCAAATAATTCTGGCGCTTTTTGTGCGCGTACATTGTCTTTGTAATGCTTGCGGACGAAAGATATAAAGACATTGTGGCTTTCCATTCTAAAAGACCGACAAGCGACCATTCAGCCGGGTTCAGTCTCGTAAAAACAATTGATTCCTGAAGCTTTCTAGGTTCGATACAAAATGAACGCGTCGTGGCGTCTAGCAATTTTGAAGCAATATAACAAAAGTGAATTGTTGATTTTATATTTTTGATAAAGGAACAATCAATATATATAGTATATTAGGCATCATTTCAAATATACTGCTCACCTTTTTCCTTTTGTCAAATTGATACTGACATCACGCTAAAACCAGTGGTTGGAAGACATCTTGGAAAATGGGTATAATTATGTTCCTTATTTGTTTTTAATGTGATTTATGGATCTTGAAAAAATAACACTAGGAATTATCAAATTATAAAAGAGATGTATAATCCAAACATTAAAATATTCAACACACTAAATGGATATATTAATTAGTCGTTTTACAAACATAACACGAATATACTATTTCTACAGAATGCATTTACATGATGCGCACGTCACAAAGTTAAATAGAACATCAATCCTTTTAATATTCCGAATATCTCGTTCAACATTCGCTTCCTCTATCCCTTCTTTATTGGCAATACGGGTTCACTCATCTTGGGCACTATTTTAGGTTCCCCTATCTTCGCTCCTGATAAGTACTCTGGATATGTAGTTAAAATGTACTCGATCTATAGAGTATATACGAGGAATTGGAGAAATAATTAAAATATGGTGAATGACTATGCCAATAAGGTGAAAAACGCAGAACAAAGTAATCGATATAGTCGAAATGAATATACTGTACCAGTTTCTCCCTGATTTCATTCTTAAGTTTCTCGGCCATTTTAACGTTAGAAGCAGTCATTGTAGCTTGTAATAATAAACATGATTCTTTTGCATCGTCAATCTATTAAAAGTGAACAGTTTTTTAATATCAAAGTTGTGTCCTCTATTTCAATTTATTCAACATGCTGATTGCTGATCATCTTAATTATGATATACGCAACCGAAATTTCTTTCCGAACTACCAATACTTACTTCCAAACTGCATTCCCGATTATCCCAATATTCTGATGCCGCGGTCAGAGCATTAAACTTGTTTCTTAGATCTGCCAATGGAATACCATAGCCAACGCATAACTGAAACGTGATCCCAATGGTGTCGCCCCCACGAGTATAGTTTTCAAACGGTTGGTCGATCACGCGAGTGAGTGGGATAATAATACGGCTATCTTTGGCTGTTCTTAACACTAAATATTGGGATTGAATTTCCTCTAAAAGAGAGCCGAGCAAGTGAGTCTTACACGTAAAGTGCCAAATACTAAAGATAGTAATGGCATACAAGTTACATACCGACTATGCCATACTGTCCGTCTATACTGACGTAGTCATCCAGCAGGAGTGGTTGAGTTAATGCAATCTGTAGCGAGGCGATGACAGTCTGAGTTGCATCGGATTTGTTTCAATGTAATAAATAACAGATTCATAGGTTAATATGCTGGTCGAAGCAATATTAAATAGATTTCTTGTTATGTGAGAGAATACCGGGACACTGGTCGTTGTGGAATTGTCCTTTTGAATGCAAGAAAACCTGCTGAGCTCTAATAATTATGACGATCCACCCCAACTGTTCTTTCCAACTAACCCTAGCCCTTATACCCATTTCCATTCGATGTCTTTATCTCTACCATATCCAAAAGAAAGCCATTTCATAGTCGCCCCCCTCAAATAGATAACTAATTCTCTCCTCACCTCCAGCGATGGTTTAGCAGCCAAACCGATAAACAAAGCCGATACACTAGCACTAGCTAGTACTGTTGCACCAAATTGCCATGCTGACGGAAAGGTTAAGATCACACTTGCTGCACAGATGACAATAATCAACCCATACGCTATCCTCGTCATAATCACCAACTGCGTATGCAGTTTCCTTGCATTGGGATTCTTTGTTGAATTCATAAAATCATTATCATTTGAAACAGTGACGGATAAAGCTTTGACAAAGTTAATTGCAGTCCAAGCGGAGAGAAGTAAAAGGAGTATGACCAAGGTGTGTCGGATAGGATCGAGAATCGATTCGTCGACGTTGGTCACGAGGGCTAGACATATCAGAATTGCAACCAACGGGAACATAAAGAATGTTGGTTTGGAGCTGAGTAAGAAATACGAATTGTGTGAAAAAACATGTGAATTTGCGGAAATTGATTTTTGATAATAAAATTACAAACAGATAATTTACAAAACGACCGTTTTCAATCCTTTATCCTAACACGGCTTCTGTAATGTCTAAATACTAAAAATTAGGACTATCAAATCGCATGCCCCCCCGCTTCCCATTCCTTACCATCTTGAAACAACCTCACGATCAAATCGCGATTCGGATTTGCTTACTATTCTCTTCAATATCAAAACCAAAATAACATGCAATATCATGCTCCCAACCGCAACTCCGCCAATGATGATCAAAGGGATAAATTGGTTGCCATCTCCAAAGTCTAGAGCCTTTACCGTTAACGTGGAATTCGAAGACATGTTGAAAGGATCAAACCGTGCGAGAAGCGTAAAATAGGTGGCGAACGAGATATGATGCAGGCTATGGAGAATATCGTGGGACTAGTCCCCGTCGGTCAGTCTTAAGAGACTGTAAATGGTACAAGGAGTGTTAGGGGCACATCGAGTTGCTTCTTATTTTTGTTTAGAAGAAAAGAAATTTAATACCTACTACTGTGTTACTTTGGGTTGTTACACTAGTATAGAATTACGTCATAGAATGTGGGAATCTGGATAATAAAAGGGATAATAATAATGCTGTTCATATATCCATTGTAGTACACCTTTAGCGTTCAATCGTAGGTGTAAACAAATAAAGACCTCGAAACCTCATATATCCATTGTATCAGTTACAAGCAAACAACGCTCGAGTACGTCTCCTCCAACGACGGAGAACCGTCTCATATTGATGTGCTATCTCTTGATAGCAACAGCTATTATGCGTATTCTGTCATTATTGCTAGCGAGCGAAGAATGATTCTGAATCTTCGTTTAGAATAATTATGCAGTCAAGCGAGTCACATATTCGAGCGAGCCGACGAAAAAAATCTAGAGCTTTGGGACAATGCTGTTAAATGTATACTGTTTGGGTATCACTTGTTCATTAAGACTCTAAAGAGTTGTTGAAACATGTGTGAGTGCTTGAACGTTACATTAGGCAAACATACGATAGATGAATATTAAATAAACATACTAACGCTAAACGTTTATTGAGTCAATGATCAGAAGAATTATTTGTACGTCAATATATTTAAACTGTAAGAATGAATATCTATGCTCAAGCATTCTTGTTTGTATTCTATTTCTGGTTATGGCTGACCCTTGTTCTTTGGTGGTCATTAATTCAAGACTTCCATAAACGGTACCAGATTATTATTGGATATCCCCCACAAACTGAATCATGTTGTAACTTTTTCCAGTAATGTGTTGTCTTAGTCAAATGCATATAAACCATGTGTTTTTAACGAGTGACGCGCAAGAAACAATTGTTTCTAGAAATAGCAACTAAGAATAATCGCAGATAGGAGTTTATTAATAAAAAATTGGCTGAACTTCGATCAAGAGGAATGGAGGAATATTAATTAGCCTAAAGATGTTGCGAAATTTAATTACAAGCTTATAAAGGCTAAAAAGGAGGGAACACCAAGTATTAGCTTTCGACATTTGAAATTTTGTGTATACAACAAACAATAAAAGCTGTAGTTTGTCGTGGAGAATTTTTTGACAAGTCACAAATTTCATATCTATTTCAACACGTGACACAAAAATCCCGTAATTTATGGTTTTGACTTTTCTACTGACTATGACTCGAATTATGTTGCGTATATATCACTTTCTGTTGTACTCTCTTTGTTCTAAAACTTTTTAGTTAATTCGAATGCTACTTATAGTCGAACGGTCTACACTGAACTCGTTTGCTAGTTTTTTATCGCTCAGTTTTGTTGTGTCTGAGTTTGGGACTCGGTCCAGAACTCAGTTGTCTCGGTCCAGAACTGAGCCGGTCCCAAACTGAGGTACACATCCTCAAGTGTTAAATTCCTCGTTTGCTTTCTTTGTCTATCTGTGTAACTGGTATTCGCGTAACTTTTATAGAGTGCATAGGGTTTAGAAATTAAGAGATAATTTGTCGTTGATGAAAGTAATGGTAATGTTTACGAGTTAATTGATCTGAACAGTTGATTTAACATCTCACGAAAATCAAGAAAAAATGTTCTTTCTTATATATTTACGACTTGATCTGTGGCCTGATTTATTATTATGGTCTGATTTATCATTTGCGGTCTAAATTTATTACTTACTTTTTATCAAAAAGGAAATTATGCTTTTGTCATGGCAGCAAAAACACTGCTTATTATTATTACTTTTATTTTTTACTTTTGTCAAAAAGGAAATTATGGGTTTGTCATGGCAACAAAAATACTGCTCATTTGCTTATCATGGTATGGAGGTGTATAAAATTTTATGAAGCTACCAGAAAAGGTAATAGAAGTTTTAGTGCAAAATCTAATCAGCGACGTAAATTTAATGGTGATTATGTGACCGACTTTATATATTGGAAAGCAAGAAATTTCTACATACAGTCGTATCCGTAAGTGCAACGCTCCTGAGAATAAAGGAGAAAATAACGCCAAAAACAAAGCGCTTTAGAAAGCATTCAGAATGCACACAGTTATTTGCTGCAAAATAACGACGTAAAAGTAAACAGTTCAGAATTAAAAGATTCTTCAACACAAACGAGTATGGATATATAACAATTCTTACTAACGATTTGCCTTCTATATTTATTTTAACAATTATTTATTTATTCTACATTACAACATTATATTATTAAATTAATCACACGTAGCTTTCGATAAGTCAGTCTACCATGCCCAGCCATCCGCGACCGGCTTGTCGAGTTTGCCTGTGTATTTAGTATATTGTCGTTATAAAAGTAGTCATGTTATTATTGGCATCTGACAAGACTGTGAGTTGATTAACTCTGTAATCGAACGGTTTGACTTCAATCGCTTGACCTCATTCTTTCCGCTTGCGCATTCAAAAAGACACCATGCAATCTAATCTAATAGAAAACGTATAAATTTCGTTCAATAAGGTATAGTTATAAAACCAGACTTGCTAGGTTTTCTTGTCTGGGGTCTGAGATCTGAGATTGATAATGATATTGTCTTGTTTTCCATATGCACATCGAAAAAATTTAATTGCACAAAATTACACACCCATGCTTAGTTATCATTAGGTAAGCATTTTGAGTGTGACTGTGGATAGATATAACAAGACATAACGATTCATTCGTGCAATACAAGTTTAATGTCGTGACACATCCTTTATCATTCGCACAATATACCCTCGATATATATCGTAAAGGATAAAGAATAGAGTGCGTAGGTCTTAAGACAATCGAAAAGGGCAATAACCGATATAAGAATGTTGTTGGTGTGGGGAGTCTGTGAGTGCCTACCCCCAATTATTTTAATTGACAATTACATAAGCCGGAAAGCTTACGCTAAAGTAAGAATACAGTATTTTTAGCAATAGTACTCTTATTTGGTGAAGAGGATATATGCATGAGAGCAAAAAAGTTTCACCATAATGTTGTATTTTGGTCCACAAAGTACTGAAAGACTTAATGAGCGAGCCATATGACATGAACTTTATTGCGCAAACTTCGATTTCGCAGCAATTATAACAGCTGTATTGCAGTTTCCCTAACAGCTCTTTGAATTACAAAGATTTCATACGATTTGAATTTTTTATCAATTGATAGAGACTACTACAAAATGCCACGACATAAGTTCAACTTGTCTAAATATTAATATTACGTAATAATTCAAAGTTTGTTGATTATGTTGCATCACATCATACTGTAACAGTAGCACTTTCATGTAACATTACTTTCAACTCCCTTACTGCCTTAAAAAAACTCGCTTGCTGATCGAAAAGGTCTGCACACATATTTTCATTATCAATCAAAATGGATAGGATACGTACAAACAGACCCGCTTCTTTAAAAATGTTCGACTTTTCAGACACCGATTCGGGGATATCATATGGGAGCACTGACGATGAAATAGAAATCAACACTCCAACGTATTCGATATCACTAATGGATCCAATTGAGGCTGTTATGAAACCAGAAAATGTACTGGAAAAATTTGTAGAAGTCGGCGGAAGACGTTACTTAAATGACAATACACTAAAATGTTATCTGCCCAGTGACCAGGAAGAAGTAAAAAGGACATACAACCGACATTTAATAGACAAAATTATGTGGGGAGGTAACTATTCTGCTCCCGTTTCCGATAATCTATCATCAGGAGCAAGTGTTCTTGATATTGGGTAAATACATCATTGCGGATATATATACTGTACATATACAAGTTTCAAATATTCTAGACCGCCCGTATTAATGATTTCTGTAACCAACCAGTTGTGGCGCAGGAGCATGGATAATGAATATGGCCTCGGATTACCCTGTTTCAGTATTTGTTGGAATAGATATCGCTCCTTTATTCCCCGAAAATCATCCACCCAATGTGGCATTTCTTAAGTGTGACATCATGGATGGTCTACCGTTTCCAGATAACACGTTTGATTTTGTTCGACAAGCATTTGTCATAATCTGTATTAATTGGCAAGCATGGAAAGAGAAAGTGGTAAAAGAATTAATAAGAGTAACTAAGCCCGGAGGATATATCGAAATTATGGAGGTATGCCGTGAAGATATAAATTTGGGAATAGTAGGCCGAAGGATTTACGCTAGGAGTAAGTATCTGATGAATCGTATGCGTATGCGTTTTGAGTGTGTAGCTTGCCGTGTTAACCGGCTATCTTTCCCACATTGTTTAAAATTATAGAATCGGAGCATATGCGTAAAGCCGGAATCAACACAATGTCCGGTCCAGATGTAACAAAGGCATTTAACGAGTTTAAAAATGAAGTGATTGTAGCACCCATGGAAGAGAAAATATATTATTTTGGGAAGAAGGCAGGAAGAATAGGTGAAGCGGCAAGTATACTAAACAAAGTGTATAATATTTAAGAAAAAAAGACATAACAGACGTTTATAATTAATTAACGTTTTGCTGTTTAGGCATTGAAATCTATCCTGGAGGCATGTAGAGCAATGAAAGTTATTCTCACTCATATTATGGGGATTACAGAAAAAGAGTGTGAACAGATGTTGATTGATTTTGAGAAGGAATGTAATGAAATCACGCTCTGCAAATCACGATACCGCACCGTTATTCAAAAGCGTTTGGATACGTACGGCGGTTTTAAAATTGAGGATTATTTTGCCGATGGTCGCATTTCATGTTGATACTGAGCTACCATATACAGTGTGTTACAAAAAAACCGTGAATTCTCCAGGTGTTTATTTGGTGTGCTATGAATAAATTACATTGAAAATTATTTAGAGATACGCTAATATAAGTTGCACTAGTCAATTTGTTTTTCTGAAATACATGCAAACATGAGTAAGAAAGTATGGAAACTTCAAACGCGAAAAATTTGGTAATGACTGAGGAGTGCGTAATTTGACCAGAACAGACTATAATTTAATTTTTAAACTAATAAAACGAGAATATAAAACAAAAGGAGAGCGTATTTCAAACTGACTTATTAATAATAGAATTTACATCTCTTATTTAAACGAGTTATTATTTGTGCTATTTGTTATAGAGGTTAATAGATAACGAGTATTTTTGTAATTACTTTTTTTTTGTAACGCACTGTAAATACGGGCTTGAAAATTTTTGCAATAAAGTTCTTATGACGAGACTGTTTTTCTTTTTCGTTGAAGAATTGTATTACAAAACTTGTGTAAATTATGACTTAATGTGATCGAGCGCTAACGACATACGCATTGACCACAAACAAAAAATAAAAATAAAAAAGATCACATGGATCATTGCGGGTGATTATAATATCTATGCTCAGGCATTCTTGTTTGTATTCTATTCTGGTTATGGCTGACCCTTGTTCTTTGGTAGTCATTAATTCAAGACTTCCATAAACGGTATCAATTATTGAAAAAGATCACAGATTATCATAGTGTCATAACAACGAAATTTAGTGACGTATTCCTCCATTTCTGCGCAGCTCCGATGGTAACGCAAGGATTTCGATCAGCAGTGGCACAGATTTGTGATCCTCGTACGAAGTGTAAGATTCGCGACGACTACTTAGTAAGAAATCTAACAAACCAATAATCGAAGCTCAAAGTTAATGTTGCTAAAAATAGGACACTTAGTAGCTCGAAAGCTATAAAAGAAGCGTAGGAGTCAGCTAGTTTCGGTGTGTTCCGTGTGTTTCATGTATTTCGAAATGCGTTAGTAGTTCCATTATCCGATTCCTTATTATCTTACGAATAGACGAGTGTCGCATTTACTCTGATCATAAACATATTTTACGTATTTCCCTGAATTATTCGATATAGTTTTAAACCACT